TTTACATATCCTTATACTAATAACATACTGTCTTAATTACTATAGCTTCATAGTGAGTCTTGAAATCAGATAGTATGAATACTTCAACTTTGTTCTTTCTTGAGTTGTTTCAGCTATTCTTAGTTCTTTGCATTTCCATATAAGTTTTTAAATAAACTTGTCATTCTCTTTACAAAAGCCTCTGGGATCTTGACTGGGCACAACTGACATCATAATAATATTCAATCTTACAATCCATGATGTATTTCTCTGTTGCTGCTGTATGCCCCCATTTAAGTCTTTTCTCTTATCAATGTTTTTTAGTTTTGGGTGTAGAGATCTTGCAAACCATTTATTAATTTTGTTTCCTTAATATTTTGTTTTTGTTTTATGCTGTATGCCCCCATTTAAGTCTTTCTCAATTTCTCTTATCAATGTTTTTTAGTTTTGGGTGTAGAGATCTTGCAAACCATTTATTAATTTTTTTCCTAAATATTTTGTTTTTATTCTATTTTCTAGGAAGTTTTTAAAAATGGATTCTTTTACAACAGTCAGAAACACCTAAAATTTAAAGCTCACTTTTAAAATAACTTTAAATTCTTAGTTAAATATTATGAGGTTGGGGCACGTATAAGGTTAATACAAAAGAAAATACAAGGATGGTGGTAAAGAGATGCTGTAAGGCAGCGTGTGTACACTCCTGTGTGTTAGATCAATGCAGTAGCAATAAGAGGAGAGAGTGACTAGAAGAGGGCACAGCAGAGGTTCTGAGGTACTGATGACGTCTGAGTTGTTCATCTAGGTTAACAGGTGTGTTCAATTTGAGAAAATTCAACAAGAATTAGTTTTATCTGTACCCTTTTTATATGCAGTTTGTAACCCAATGTAAAAAGTAACTAAATTTTGTTTTAAAAATCTCAAGTCCTTAACAGCCTGCTGAACTGAACTGTGATTCCTTGCAGGGATGAAAATATTTTATGTATCACTGAAACACAGTCAAGGAAATGCCTGGTGAAGCGATTCTGGAGCTGAAATGCCTAAGGAGAAAGGAATATGGGGAAATAGAAGGGGAAAGAAATGTTGATAGAGAAAGAAATATGAGGAGAAAATGTGACAGGGCAATTGATATGGAACAATGTTTTCTGACAGAATCAACTGAAAAAGTACCAAGCATTTATTCTTTCTTTACTTTAGCTCCAGAAATAAAATAGGTTAAGAAGATGGCTTGCTTAAGATGTACAATGAAATAACATTAAGACATTATATACTTATAATGTTATACAATTGCAAAGCATAATTATTAGCATGTACAGAATACCCTGGAACATATATTCTAAGCCTGAATCTTATTGAAATCACCACCTTCTCTATGCTTCCATGTTATTTTGTTTATTCTTCAAGCATTACCACTCACCACACTGTACTGAAATTACTTGATTATCTTCCTCACTGAACTGTCATCTTCTAGGGGGAAAGGGCATTGTTTTATTCAACTCAAAATTGCCAAGGCATAGCATATGCTTGAACCTTTGAGGAACTGCTCTATATTTGTTGAGTTGAATGAATTTTAGGATGAATATGCACATGGAATTCTCAATGATTTGTCCATATAAAATCTCCTCCAATAAAATATGAACACATCAGTTTACAAATCCTTGAATTGTTTCATGCTAATTGATTGCTTTATTTGATCATCAAAATCAATTTCTTAATGTGAATTTATTAGTTTATGCATGGTACAAAAGGGTAGTCATTAAAATAACCATCTGACAAATGAAGAAGCTAACTGTGTAATGTATAAAAACAAGGTGTTGGTGGCCCTACACTTAGTAAGTAATAGAGCCAGATCTGGAATCTAGACCTTTGATTTTTTTTTTTATTCAGGTAATTTACTCTAAACAACATCGAATTTGACAGCAGTCACTCTCTAAGTTAGCCTAGAAAGTTTTAACTCCAGGCTGGTTTCCACCAGCTATTAAATGACTTCTTGGCTCCCTTCTTTGGCCATCTCATTCTGCTACTCGTATTTCTACCTTCACCTCCCCTGCCCCCACTTTATCACAGGGAAGAAGGACTATATCATATTAGTATAATATTGTATCTATTTATATAAATTCATTTCAGCACTTCTTATTTCCTATACACACAGTCCCCTTATACACAATGGTTCGACTTTTGAGTTCTTCAACTTCGCAATGGTGAAAAAGTGATAAGAATTCAATAGAAACCATACTTCAGATTTTGAATTTTGATCTTTCCCTGGGCTAGCAATATGCAGTCTGATGCTCTCTGGTGATGCTCCTGGTCAGCCATGAGATTGCAAGGGTAAACAGCCAATACTCTTCACTGCGTTGCCAACGTTTTTGTTTCAGCTCAGTGCTTCAGATATTCTTCAGGCCCAGTCCCCTTTCAGCTGCATATCTTAATGGTGCATACCCATAAAACCATTCTGTTTTTCACTTTCAATACAGTGTCCAATCAATTACATGAGATATTCAACACTTGATTATAAAATAAACTTTGAGTTAGATAATTGTCCCCAACTACAGGCTTAAGTAAGTGTTCTGAGCATGTATAAGAACACTTAAACTAGACTTTGATGTTTGGTAGGTTAGGTGCTTTAAATGCCCTTTGACTTATGATGTATATTTTTCTATTTAAAACTTTTTTATTGATTCCAGAGAGGGAGAAGGGAGGGAGAAAGAGAGGGAGAGACACATCAATCAGTTGCCTCCTGCACACGCTCCAACTGGGGACCAAACCTGCAACCCAGACACGTGACCTGACTGGGACTCGCACCCATATCCCTTTAGTAGCAGAATGACACCCAACCGAGCCACACTGGCCAGAGCATGACATACATATATTTTATAATCCTCACCCGAGGATATATTTTTTATTGATTTTAGAGAGAGAAACATCAATCAGTTGCCTCCCATACATGCCCCCAACCAGGAATGGAACCTGCAGCCTAGGTATGTTCCCTGATCGGGAAGGAACCCACAACCTTCCTAAGTACTGGATGACTCTCCAACCAAATGAGCCATCTGTTCAGGGTGACATGATATTTTCAATTTAAAGTGGGTTTATTGGGACAATACCCCCTCATATGTTGAGGAACATCTGTATACGAAAGGGGGACATGAAAAAATGGAATTTATTTATAAAAATTTGTATTTAAACTTCAGTTACCTTCAAAGTTCTCTCCATTTGATGAAATACTCCTATTAAGATGTTTTTTTTTCTACTGCTCAAAACAGTTTCTGAACTCATCGATTTTGATACTTTTTAGTGCTTCTGTTGTTTTTTGTTGCACCTCTTCCACATCAGCAAAACATTTCTCTTTGAGGACTTTTTTCATCCAGGGAAACAACAGAAAAGTTGCTTAGGGAGAGATCAGGTGAATAGGAAGGATGGGGCACAGAGGCCATGCCATTTTTTGGTCAAAAACTGCTGACTACTCAGCACAGTGTAGACAGGTGCTCTCACAAATCACCCATTATGAAAATGGGCAAACATGTTGAAAGAATCTTCAAAAAAAACTCACTGAAGCTAAACACAGCCTCTCATAGCAACGCCAACTGGTACACTGATACAGAAGGGTTCCTAGAACATTCACCTGGCAGTGGAAGCCTGAACTACAAGGGGTCCGCCTTCCAGAAGATAATTCTGATTTTGGGGCGTCCTCCTTCATATGTATTATTTTGTAGTATCTCCTTTGAATCCATTGAAACTACTTGTTACTGTAACCTTACTGATTTCCTTACTAACTCACAATTTCAATACAGTCTTTGATGTGTGTTCATCATATATTTGTAGAAAAATCGTGATTTTACCTTTTCTGAAAAGCATTCTTAAATAATGGACATTTTCTCCATAATGTATGAATGAATACAGGCTTCTTCAGGAAATAATGCTATTTTTGCTGATCTGCAACTTACAGTCTAAGTAAAAATCACTTTCTCTCTGGAAATGCTTCTTTAAGACCTAACTACTATAACAAATTAGTTCAAGGACTTGCCTTTCTGTGCCCTCTTCCTTGGAGGAAACAAAGAGTTTTAATTTCAGTCAGATGTGAGGAACAAGGTAGACACAGCACGCAGCTGACGAACTTCCAATTTTCAGTCTGCCCAGTGTAGAAAGAAATGTCTCAGTCCCTAGACATAAGATAGGTAAGAAGTCTCTCTCTCTCTCTAGGTTTCTTCCCACCAGAAACAAAGAGGGAAGATTTGGAAAGTCATGTTCCTATCAATTAGCAATTCTGTAGTCTCTTATATTTGAACCACAACAGGTAAGAAGAGACAGATGGGAAAAGAACCAGAATTCTCACACTGTACTCAACACATAAAAATTAATTGTTCTGGGCTCTGCAAACATCAATCCTTTCCGGCATCATCTTTATCCTAATCTATAATCAATCACTCAAAGAATTTGTTAAACACCTTCAGCTTTTGGCCTGCTGTGTAGAATGATGGGCTTTTGAACAAGTGGTCAAGGGATCTGATCCTCTCCTCCCAGCTCCGTCAAAGGCTTATTAGGTCCTTTTGGAGCTTTGATTCTTCAACTGTAAGAACAAGTTACTGAACACATTAAATAAGATACATTAAACAAAATAACATACGCCAGAGCTCTGTGCAAACTAATAGCTCCATAAAACTTAGTTTCAGTTGCCTGACTTCCCAGTTTCCTTATTTTTAAGGGTAACAATAATGGTAAGGATAGTTCCTGACACCGTGCTTAATAACTGTTAGCTACTGATATCATAAACGTAAATTCCGCGGGAGGGGGCTTATCGGATTTTAAACATCTTTTGTCTCCAACAAATCCTAGCACCTTGCACCCGCGAGGTTACAGCTGAGAGACAAACTTACGAACGAATCTTCTAACCCGACTCCCGACCCCGCCCTGAGCCAGCACGCACCGCAGGAGTGCTTGAATGTAGGACGGCCACCGCCCGGAACACAAAGCTCGGGATGCTGAGGCGCCGGAGCTTTTTCGCTCTAGGACTCGGTATCCGGAAGTGGTGAGGGCGGGGTCAGCTCTACGGCTGAAATTGGCCGCTGCGCGAAGATGCTGCTGGACCTGTCGGAGGAGCACAAGGAGCACCTGGCCTTCCTGCCGCAAGTGGACAGCTCGGGTCGGGAGACGCGGCAGCGGAGGGTGGTGTTCTGTGGTCTGGGGAAGGAAGCATAGGGAGCGCCCGTTTCTCATGATGTCCTGGCTTCCGTTGCAGTGGTCGCCGAGTTTGGGAGGATTGCAGTGGAGTTCCTGAGGCGAGGCTCGAACCCCAAGATATACGACGGCGCCGCCAGTAAGGAGGGGAGGGGCGCGGCCCTGCAGGCTGCGCGGTGGAAATACTAGCCATTCTCTATAGTGCTGGGGAGAAAGGGGTTTTTGCGACTCCGAGCGTCTTGATCCCCTTGGTGTAGAATAAAACCAGAAGGGCTCTTCAGTCACGGCGCACATCCTGCAGGTTTCCTAAGTAGCTGTTAGATTTTTTAAGTTTTTGTTAAGTGGATTTCTTCGTGTGTAAAATTACCATCTGCCTGAGATACTATATAATTTACTTTCACCGAAGTGTGTGGAATAGTCCGGTGTTTGGTTATTATTAGCTGTGCACACATCTTTTGGTGAGGTATTGTCTTTCCCGCTGGACTAGGGGCAGTTCCTCAGATAAAGTCAGTCTCTGTTGAGTTCCTCTTCTGCCAGGCTTGAAGGAACAGTGCCTTCAAGAGAGGGACGTGCCCCTGGTACTAGTCTCTTAGGAGTCTGCATTTTGTAAAGGTTAGAAGATGGAAAATACTGCAACCATTTGGCTTAGACTGGAGAACGAAAAGGAGGCTATTACCAACTCATTATTATTAATTGCAGTGTTTTAAAAAAAGGAATAATGGATAATATTTATTCTTAAATAAGTTTGAATAAAAGGATAAATATCACACAATAATGTATTTGCTCACTTTTACCTTTTTTCCCCAGGAAAACTCAATGTGAGTCGTGACACTGTCCAGCATGGTGTGGAAGGATTAACTTACCTCCTCACTGAAAGCTCAAAGCTCATGGTAAGGGTTGCTGTAGACTGTCTTATACAAGATTAGCCAAACCTTAAGAAGGTCATGTATACTCTACATCATAGCCCTGGCAGGTACCTACTTACTTCAGTAATGTTGTTAATGGTTTATAATTGATTTGGTGAAGCCATGCCCAAACAATATGACTATAACAATCTGCTGTCATGAATACCTCATGTTAGTATAAATTAGAGTTGCCTATAATTCTGCATGTTATTGAACCACATTCAATAGTATGTATCCTAAGAGGAGGGAGAACATAATGATTCATTGTACTTTGTGTTTGCATATTAGCAGTATCTGGCTTGATGGTGAAGAATAGGAGAGAAAATTGGTCATTTTAATAAATCTTTTTTATATGTCAGTATTTTTATATATCAGAAACTCAGATTTTAAAATAGTGGGCAAGGATTGCTTTTAACTAAAGGGTGTTGATTCTTTTACTAGACAAAAGAATTAGGGGATTTTATATTATTTTGTGTATATCAACTATTTTAGCATTTACTAGACAAAGGTAAATTCTCATGTTCTGCTAAACTCAATTCATTGTAGATTTCTGAACTGGATTTCCAAGACTCTATTTTTGTTCTGGGATTCTCTGAAGAATTGAAGAAATTGTTGCTTCAGCTGTATCTGGACAACAGAAAGGAGATCAGAACTATTCTTAGTGAATTGGCACCAGACTTTCCCAGTTACCACAGCCTTGAATGGCGACTAGATGTACAGGTATGGTGGTGGTGGCTTCTTCTTCTCCCTCTTCTTTTTAATCTGAATTACAATATAAGATTTATTTTAGGTATATGTCCTCAGGCCTATTATATTCTTTACCACCTTAACCAAACTCTGGTTTGAAACTTCAGTTTTTTTTAATACTCATTTTCAGGCCATTTCACAAATAGTTCATTTTCTAATATTTTTAAGGTATCAAATCAGTTTAATTTGTAACTTTGTAAGGAATAAGTTATTTTGGAAAAGGAGATGGTTATGCGTATTCTTTTAAGTGATGCTTAGATTTTTAAAAACTTTTCTGTTGAAATAAATACACATATAGAAGGCCCTGGCTGGTGTGGCTCAGTGGATTGAGCACTGGTCTGCAAACCAAAGGGTCGCTGGTTCTAGTCCAGTCAGGGCACGTTCCTGGGTTGCTGCCTAGGTCTCCAGTAGGGGGTGCGTGTGAGGCAACTACACATTGATGTTTCTCTCCATCTCTTTCTCCCTCCTTTCCCCTCTCTCTAAAAAATAAATAAAATCCTTTAAAAAAATACACACATAGAAAAGTGTACTAGTCAGTGAATGTACTGCTCAGTGAATTACCTCATGGTGAAAACACCCATGAAGCCAACACTTACCCATGACCAGCATCCCAGAGGCATCCTCCTCACCTCCTACCAATTGCTTCCCCTTTTCTCACTTCTAATACATAGATTACTTTTGCTACTCTTTAGATTTCTGTATAGGGAATGATTCAGCAAATGTTCTTTTGCATCTCGCTTCTGTGCACATTGTATTTGTGAGATTCAGCTATTGACCAAAGGGGAGTTTACAGACTATTACATGTAGCCCTTTATCAAGCATTGACAGATTAAAAGATGTTCATTGAATGTATCCATTTGTTGATCAGGGCTTTGCTAAATGCTTTAGGAAACAAAAGCATAAGATGCTTTCTTAGCTGGAAAAAATATTTTAGGAGTATTAGATGTTCTCAAAATAACTAGTAAATAGAGGTAGTTGTAAAATGTGGTTCTGGAGGAGGAAAAAGAATAGAATTGTGTAAATCAAGGTACAACTGAGCAATTCAAAAAAGCTGTAGCTCAGGTAGTTCAGTTCAGTGTACACAGGAATGCTCCAGAAAAGCTTCAATAAAAGGAGGTGAGACTTCAGAAGGATAAATGAATAGAGAAAACCAGGGTGAATATTCTTGACAAAGGAGACAGTGTAATCTGTAAAGGCCCACATGCATATGGGAATGAGCATGTTGAGTGTGTGGTATAGCTCAAGCCAGACTTGGAACCTGCATATTGGAACGACCTGGGAGCTTTTAAAATTCTTTGCCTCACCCTCCCCACCATGAGATTGTGACTTATTGGTATGGGTTTTTGCCTGGGCATCAGGATTTTTAAAAGCTTCCCATTCACCCAGGCAATTCTTATGTGCAATAAAGTTTGTAAACCTCTGTCATAGTGGATTCTTCCCAATTTGAATAGTAGTAAGAAGATCCAAATAGGTTATAGAAATTCAGTTAGAAGAGTTTAGCATGAAATTCAGTTAGAAGAGTTTAGCAGTTGTAATCTAATATGATGAGTGCTTGAATAGATATTAACACGGTTATGGTATAAACCAGATTATAGGCTCCATGAAGGCAGGTACTGTGTCTCGTTGACTGCTGTGTCCCCAGCACAATGCCTGGCATATAGTAGGCATTCACTGCTAAATATAAAAATGGTAGGGAGGGGAGCTAGTGGTGAGCACCTTCTTAAATTAATTTATCAAATATTTTTTGCATGCCTATCATGTGATGCAGATACAGCAAAGAACAAGGTACAGTTTATGCTTTTGGAGTCATAAGCAGCAAGTCCTGTAGAGCTAATGAGGAGGAGGAGATCACTGGTTAAGCCTTTATGTTTAGGTCCTTTCTGAACAACCAGGTGGAAGAGAAGTGGAGATGGTCATGTTCATGAGATTCAGCAGTAATTTCTCTTTTACACCTTTACCTCTTTGTGTGGGGATATCTTCTGACTCTTAGGGTTTGGTAGCCCTTAGAAGTTCTTTTTGTTGTTGTTGTTGTTATTGATTGGCTTTGAATTTTTCCATTATGAAGACATTTTTAGAAGTTAAAAAGTTAAGCAATTGAAATTCTAAAATCAAACTCAAGAGAACTCATTTATGCAGTGAAATGAGTTTGACTAGCTGTGTTACTGCTAGGATTAATACAGTCTAAAGTTAAGGGTATACTGAATGAATATTGCCTCACGGTGAAATGCATTTCAGTGCTAAAAAAGCTACAGAAAACTAATTGATTTTGTGAGCTTATTAGTTGAAATTATTACAAGCGATTTAAATTTTTTTAATTTATTTATCTATTTATTTTTAGAGAGAGGGAAAGGGAGAGAAACATGGATTAGTTGCCTATCCTGCGGGGACCAAACCTGCAACCCCAGGCATGTGCCCTCTCCAGGAATCGGACTGATGACTTTTTGCTTTGTAAGATGATGTCCAACTAACCATGGATGACCTCCATGCCTCACTGGTCAGGGAATTATTACAAGAGATTTTTAACTAGAGTGGATTATTTGCTTATGGGAGAAAGACTTGTCAAACAAAAACCAGCTAAAAGACTAGGAAACTAATAATAGGATATAGAACCTTTCGTTTTTTTTTAAGATTTTTAAAAATTTTTTAATTTTTACAGAGAGGAGAAGGGAGGGAGAAAGAGATGGAGAGAAACATCAATGTGTGGTTGCCTCTCACGTATTCCTACTGGGGACTTGGCCTGCAACCCAGGCGTGTTCCCTGACTGAGAATCGAAACAGCGACCCTTTGGTTTGCAGGCCAGTGCTCAATCCATGGAGCCACACCAGCCAGGGCTGAACCTTTCATTTCCAAGTAACTGATTTGTCTCATGGAGATGGGTAATGAATGGATAGTTACAATCAAATTATTGTGCAGTTGCTTATGGGGAGTAAATTAGTCATCACAGTTTAGTTTCTAATAGAAACATTTCCTGTACTTCATAAATAGCAAGTATATTTAATGCCTTTGTTAATAGCATCAGTTAAGTTAAATACATCAGAGATTGGTGGAGGAGAATGTTACTTTTAGGGTTGATTTATTTAAAGTTGCTATTGAAATAAGTTCATATCAAGAACTTTATGGGGTACTGTTCTTTATCTTCTAGTAGTACCACTGGCTGTGATTCCAATTTCTTTCTGAGAAAAAATTAGGCCTAATTTTATTTTACTAGGTGTTTGTTAGGGATATTATATAGTCTTTATCTGGAAATGTTAAAGAATGGTACAGATAATTATCTGTAAAGGTTTTTTAGATATCCTGGTTATCTAAAAATGGGAGGATAGATTGAGCAACCTTAAGCCTTTCGACAAGAAAATTCATGCTTAATTGTACGTATAGATAGATTTGGCCCCTATCTGTCAGTACAGATACAGGGGAAATAAGAAATATAAACAATTCATAATTGAATGAATAAGTAATATTTTTAGTAATCATATTTATTACCATTTGCCTTTCTATAATCTTGTGTACTAGAGAAATAATCTTACAGGAGATAATTTACTTTACAAATACATATTTTATATTTGGGGACTAGCTCACCCAAAGGGATTCATCTATTGTTTCCAAATAATTTTAAGACATAAAATCTCAGCTTTGGATCAGTATCTTGGGTTCTTTTGGATGCACAAATGACCTAGAATTAATTGAAAGAAGTTACTAGGGTATTCTATGTTGTGGTATTAAGTTAATCCTAAAATCTTACTTTAGATTTGTTACTCACTGGAAGTCTCTTTCTTCAATTTGGCTGCTTGTCCTTTGATACTACTCCAATAGTTTTAGATAACAATCTTGCTTTCTTGTATAACAAGATGTTTCAGGTTCATCTTGTACAATTCCAGACCTAGACTTGAATTGAATTAGCTATTCAAGGAGGTCCTGGTTCCTTGTAAGAGAGCACACTCTGGTGCTAGGGTTAAATTCCATCATTTCCAAGTTGGTCATTGTTTCTAGTGGTTATTTTCTTTTAACAAAAGTACTTTTTAAAAAATTTTTGGGATGTATCATATAAACAAAGGGTTATAGATACTCAGTTTAAAGAAGAAGAATAAAATAAGTACCCGTGGCCAAGCTTAAGAACTAGAACACAACCAATACCATCGAGTGTCCCTTTCTAAGTCAGAACCCCCTCCCAGCACACTGGAGGTAACCACCACCCTGAATTTTGTTATTTTTTACTTTATAGTTGGGTTTTTTTACACTTTTTTTTTTTCAGTAAACTGGATTTTTTAGAGTTTTATGTGTTATTCTGTGACTTGCTTTTTCCATTTAACCTTTTTTTTAGATTTATCCATGACAATTCATTTTGCTGTAGTACATTTCTTTTTGCTACCAGTAAGCATTTCATTGTATGAATATTCTCATTGTATCCATTCTGTTAGAGAATATTTAAGATGTTTTTAATTTTTGACCCTTAGCAACAAATACTATGAATACTATGCTATTCATACATACTATTCATATTATGAATACATGTATATGTATAAGAGTTTAGGACATATACCCAAGAATGGAATTACTGGAAATATATATTGTTTTCCAAAGTGATTCTCTTGTCACTCTCACCTCAGTGGACGAGAGTTTCCATTCTGTAACTTGCAGTGCTCTGTATGGACAGCTTTTTAGTTCATGCTATTCTGATACATGCAAAACAGTATTTTATGGTTTTACTGGCCATTTTTTTGATTCCTAATAAAGTTGAACATATTTGCCTATTTTTATCTATTTGTATTACTTCTTTTATTAAGTGCTTATAGGTTTTTGGCATGTTTTTTCTCTCGGTTTTATGTTTTGTTCCTTTTAAATCAGAGCAGTTGTTCATGCATTCTTGGATACTAGTCTTTTTTGGGTTACATGTGTTACCAAATAACTTCTCTCATTTTATAGCTTGTTTTTCCATCATCTTTAGGTGTCCTTTGAAGAAAAGTTAATAATTTTAATGTAGCTAAATTTGTCACTTTTTTCATTATGCTTTGTGCCATTTATATCATGTTTAAGAAATCCTTCCAGGCCCTGGCTGATGTGGCTCAGTGGATTGAGCACCAGACTGCGAACTGAAGGGTCGCTGGTTTGATTCCCAGTTGGGGCACATGCCTGGATTGCAGGCCAGGTCCCTGGCGTAGGGCACAGGAGAGGCAACCACACATTGATGTTTCTCTCTCTCTTTTTCCTTCCCTTCCTCTCTCTCCAAAAAAATAAATGAAATCTTTAAAAAGAAATCCTTCCAGCCCTGGCTGATGTGGCTTAGCGGGTTGAATGCCAGCCTGCAAACTGAAAGGTCACTGTTTTGATTTCCAGTCAGGGCACATGCCTAGGTTGCAGGCTGGGTCCTTGGTTGGAGGCATGTGAGAGGCAACTGATCTCACACAACAGTGTTTCTCTCCATCTCTGTCTCCTTCTCTTCCCCTCTCTCTAAAAATAAATAAATAAAATCTTTTTTAAAAAAAGAAAAATCCTTCCACACTGTAAGTTTGCATATATATTCTCATTTCTTTTTTTTATTTTTCCCAAAAGCTTTGAAGTTTATTCCCTAGCTGGTGTAGCTCAGTGGGTTAGGCATTGTCTCACAAACTGGAGGGTTTCCAGTTCGATCCCTGGTCAGGGTACATGCCTGGGTTGTGGGCCAGGCCCCTAGTTGGGGGCATGTGAGAGTAAACCAATCGATGTTTCTCATGTCAGTGTTTCTCTCTTTTCCTCTCCTCCTTTCTTCTAAAAATAAATAAATAAAATCTTTTGAAAAAAGTTTTCCAGTTTACTTTTCATTTTGAAGTCTGTGATTTATCTGAAATTTGTTTTTTGTATATGGTATAAGGTAATTATAAATGTTATATATTCAGCATGATCATTAAATAGTTATGTTCTTATTCCACTTAAAATCAAGCTTGCAAGCAGAAGCCTCAGGCAACAGATAAAACCATCAGTGACTATAAAGCTACACCTTAACCAGAATGGAGATCGCAACACTCAAGTTCTACAGACAGACCCAGCCACCCTGCTGCATTTGGTTCAGCAGCTGGAACAAGCATTGGAGGAGATGAAAACAAACCACTGCAGGAGAGTCATGCGCAATATCAAGTAGTCCCGGTTTTAAGATTAATTCCCTTTGAAGTACTTGTGAATTAATGATATGCAGCAGTTACTTTTAAAAACCTTTCTTTATTAATTGATGGTGATAACTACATATAGATTCTATGAAAGTTCTTTTCCTATGACAAGATGTGAGGTCATGTTCAAAGGCTAACATAAAGTTCCTTTCCTGGTGCTAAATGTGGCCACCTTCTTGACAAATTAACATGTATTTTATATTTTAAATGTGTAAATAAGATTGAATCGATGGGAAATGAATCTCTAGTGTTCATATTGTCTGTATATATGAATGACTATTATTTCTTTAGTACTTCTTTTGACTGCTTAACTTTGTTATTTTCCTCCTTATTGACCAAAATGTGAAAGTAAAATTCATAGTATTACTCTTATCATTCTGAATGTTTCTAGACAATTCAGTGTTTTCGACCTTTGAAAGCAGCCCATGGATGCTAATAGCCACAGGATAGTTGGAAATAAAGATAACATTTTTAAAATGCTATATTGTTTGGACAGCTCACGCATTTTTCTTAGCATGCAAAGATAAGTACTTGCCATGTTGCTTAAGTTTGAATTGATGTGGCTAATTAGTTTAAATATTTAGTATTCAAATTTTTGTGATCATATATTACACTTTATCATGGACTGTATTTCCCCCCTAGGACTCAAAGAATCTAAGAAACATGCTGTCACTTGCATTTATAAACAATGCATGCAGGAGTAGTATATTGGATTCTTAATTTTGTAGATAAAAATGACATTCACTTTTTATATTTTTGGATGAATAAAGTATAAAGAAGGAAAGGGAGATCATGTTTACTACATTTCAGACAAATATCCCTTCTTCCTTACAAACTGGTTTTTTGTTTTGGTTTAGTTGTTTTAGTAGGTAACTATAAGCTATTGGCCTGAAAAACTCAGATGCTGATGTGTCAGGTCAGCGTGATCGAGTGCAGGGTCACAGTGGAGAAAAGTCATATGGAAGAGTAGAAATGGGGATTCGGTCTTAAACATGGGCCCTTATTCTGAGAGTCTCATCCCAGTGGGAAAACCTAGGAAGGCTTGTCGAACTGTCAGACTCTAAGCTGCGCACTAGGCTTTATCAATACTTTGCCTCCTGAGAAATAGATTTTCAGGTCAGAGTGACATCATGTTCCTTCTTTTTCTGACAAGCTAGCCAATCAGGAAACAGACCATTTTCAACAGAAAAGCGCAGTTGAAATTGCTACCCATCAGCCCGCTGCGGGCATGCGGGTCACTCTTTTCCCAAAGGTGTATGTTCTACAGTTGCAAAATACCTATATCAGATAGCAAACTATAATCAGAAATAATTTTTAATTACAGTGATAACTTGATTGATGAAGCTTTGTTATTAACAACCTGACAAAAGGAAACCTTATATATTACATGAAATAGTAGCATATGTCATCCAGTTTTAAAGCAGTATGCCTGCCAAGCTTAGATGATAAAAATAGCTCCGTGAAGCTTCTTATTTGTCCATATTTGGTGGAAGATAAGCAGCACTGACACCAGGGCAACCTTTCTTCCACTTCATATACACTGTTCTTACCCCAATCAAAGAAAGCATGTGTTAATCTCTCATGTATCACAACTTCTTGGCCTCTCTCTCCCATTATTTCTGATGTGCTGCCTTCTTCACCTTTGTGGGCCAGAGTGAGTTGGGAGCAGTCTCCTGACACCGTTTTGAACCTGGGCCTCACTTTTTAGTACAGGCTAGTGAGGAAGCCTCTTCCTTTTCTTGTGTAAACATTCCATCCCTTATGGACAGCTCTGCCTTGTTGGTTCTATGGCATATTTGATTGTGTGTGTGTGTGGCTTGTTTATGGACATATTTTCTGCAGATGCAGTCACTGTTCCACTGTCCTGTATGATCAAGTTTCTTGACTCTGGGTAATGTGCCTTTTTATCTATTACTATCTAAATTCTTATTAAAACATTTGGATTACTAGTAAGCTGATTTTTCAGGACTAACTCATCTGGGTTTAGACTTAACTATCATATCTTTCATGACTCCAACCCAGATCAGAGCTATAAGTAAGAAATAATAATATGTTTCACAAAATCGACATATACTTCACCCCCTGGAATTCTCTGTGTTTCACAAGATTTCAGGGAGTTTGTCTGTTACAGACGTTTTCAAGCTTACACAAATTTAAAGCAGCAATTGGAAAGGTGGTGGAGAAATGCTAAGACGGGAATATATCTTCTTTGAAAACTGAAAGATAAGAACCTGACAGGAAAGTTTGAAAAATCATTAAGTGTGTGTGTAAAGGATGCATGTATGGGGGCTCTTAATCCTATGAAAAAGTTAAGAGGCCAGTCTTTGGAGTGAGTAAAAGAGTTTGAATTTAGGCTCTGTGGCTTCTTACAGGTCCTTGATAAATTCCCAAAGGCTTGTCTTCTTCATCTCTAAAATAAGAATAATAACACCTATCTTACTGGCTTATGGGGACTAAGTGAGACTATGTATATGGAATGTTTAGCACAGTCCCAGGCTTTGGAAAATACTCACTTAGACTGAGATCTCATTATTTTATTGAATTTATTTTATCTCATTATGTCCCATAAATATTGGGAGATAATTCAAGAAACAGAAAATAATACCCGGCCCCTTTGAAAAGCACTCATTGGGCCTTTCGCTAATGACCCACTGAGCTGTCAAGAACAGGCAAAGTAAAAACACCGCTTTTGGGTGAAGTGACAGCATGTCATGTTGTTTCGCTTCAATCAGTGGTGTGACAAGGGGTTAAAAAATTAATTAAAAATTTAAAAAATATATTACCTGGTGATTTCTGGTTGGTAGGATTACGGCTGTTTCTTTTCCTTCTTAATTTCTATAATGAGTTAGATGACTCATTAAAAACAATTTTGAAATCTGAAATGAGAAAAAAAGATCAGGGATTTTAAGTGCACTTTTAGTGATATTTTTGTCCAAAATTTTAATTCTTGGAATGATATACACACATACAAGTTCTCCAGAAAACTCAGCTATTCAAAACTCCTTAGTCTCCAAAGGACTCAGGTGGTCAGGCCAAGGGTTTCTACATAGAGGTGGGTCTAGAGTGTGTTTTTTTTTCTCCCTAGTGAAAAATCATGGGAGGCTCAAGACGTTATCTAAGCCAGTTCTCTTCTTTTTAGGTAATATTTCATCTAACTGAAGAATTACCTGCGTTGTTTTTAGTCTCCAAAGGAAGACACATAATACATCTTCGCAGTTTTTTATAGTCCTTATGGACAGGAAGTCCTTATGGCCAGGAAGTTCTGTCAGCTGCTATATTAAAGTCTTCCTGCTGTAATTTACTCACTTGTCTCTGTATTTTATCGAATATATGTTTAAGTCCCTCCTTAACTTACCCTTCCACAGTTTCCATGACCCTACGTTACTCCCATCTCTTTTCTTTCACAAATGGTAGAAAATATTTTGGTAAAAAGGGTGTCATAAGACATCACCTCTAATTTAAATATTAACTTTTTAAACCACCATGACTGTTACGCTCAAACTTGAAAACTTATTTTTAAAGACAAAACACATGAGTCCAACTCCATCATTAATACAGTTAGTTCAGTGAACTAATTTACAAACTTTGAAAATGATCTTTTAGTTATAAAAGCCAAATAAGCCCATTATTTCTCAGCTTTGCAAAACAGTGTACTAAGGAGATGAAAAAACAGTGATATACTTTATCACAGTAAAGTATATATTTAATGGCTTGATCAATGAATAGTAATGGCTCTTTCTTTTATGTTTATATAGGTCCACTCCTCTCGCTGTCCAGGAACTCAAATCACTTAATTATGCTTGATAGCCACAAGTCCGTAAGATTCTATTTATCATAATGAGGGAATATAAGAAAAGTAATTCTGTTTCCTTACTGGGCTTAATCTGAAAAGGAACACGAGGAACACAAGTATCTGCATAAACGTACTCTGTGGTTTCTGTTCATGTTTCTGGTTTTTTAAACAGGCAACTTTGAGTTTTTGTAAATAATTATATTGTATATTAGGTCCATTCTTATTAGGAATAGTACTAATAATGTGGCCATCGGAGTTGGAGGCCTTGCATTTCTGTGCTTGAGCCAAAATTGATGCTTTTTAATTTGCTAAGACTATTAACTTCCATTTCTTTTTGCAGTTACATCTCTTACAACACAGAGAGACAATGCAGAAAAAGACTTTAGCCCTTTCTCACAAACCAGAAGGTCTTTTACTTCTTTTATTCTTAATTTGTCTTACTCTTTACTCTCTTACATTGGGCTGTAATTTACCAGTTTATGTAGGGCATTGTGTTGACAGGAATAACAAAGCAAATTTGAAAACCTTTTATAGGTCTTTTCTGATAATGGTACTAACTCAGTTTTGTTAATATTTATTAAGTGCTTAGAGTGATTCATGTTGTATGTCGAACAAAGAATAAAGTCCTAGTTCTCGGTGTAGAATGCTCTCATGCTTGTCCATCCTATTCAATCCTTGAAAATAGTTTAATCCATAAACTCATTAGGCTGCAGAAAGGAATCTCTGAAGGAGGCTATTCTGAAAAAGGGAAACTCCTCTGGAATGTTGTCTATTATCTAACCTCTTTTCCTTGAAACTCCACCTTCTGGAAGGCAAAAACTAACACTATTCAATGGCTAGAACTGTAGAAGTGTGCAGGGGAGAGAATAGATCACTACAGAATATTGTGGAATACATGGACATGGTTAGAATGCCAGAAGTTATCCTTTTCTCCTTTTCCACTGAAGTGGGGTTCCCTGAGGTAACCAGAGGTGTGATGGGAAAAGCAAATTGAGTTCTTTTTTTACCTGCATGCCAATGCGGTGATTGTTAAAAATCCAATGAAAAGTGGATGCCTGTGGTTTTGGAGGAATGTGCTTAGTTCACAGAACGAAAAGGCTTCTCAGTTAACTCAAAGACTAAAAACACACAGATTAAAATTCAGAGAATGAGGAAAAGAAAATCCAGGGAAGTCTTTGAGTTTCACTGGGGCAAGTATAGATGGTTGGGATATTATGTCCTGGCATGGTCTGCCAACCGTGCTTTTATTCCAAATAAACAAAAATTCTTACAAAGCTCAAGTGAGTTGAAGTGCTGCAACATAATAAAATTGCTTGATTTGCAGCTGAGACTGTTGTGCAATTCATAGACTGAGAGAACTAAGAAAGGGTGCAGGCAACTTTTTTAGTATTTAAAGGGCAAAAATGATTTGTCTCACGATATGAGCAATGTAATAAAAGCCTTTTTAGAAAATGTTTAGAGTCTAAAGAGGTAATTATTGGGTATATTTTCCTATGCTCTTTTCTCCCATTCTTTGTCTTTGCCTTGACATAAATACCAAATTTGTACCTTTCTTAGGCCCTTAGAACAATTTATTTTCATGCCAAACCTCTCACTAAGCCTCTTCCCTCTTTTTTTTTAATTTTTGAGAAATAATTCACATAAAATTCATCTTTTCAACATGTACAATTCACATGGCTTTTAGTATGT